AGCCGGGAAGTGAATGGCTGGACCAACTCAGGCTTAGAGAACCAACTGCCTTGTGATAAGTACCTTCTGAGGCTATGCCTCCAGTGACCTAAAAACCACCCACCAGGCCCAGCTCATGAGCTCCATAACTGAAATCAAGGCACCATGCTCCTAGCACCACCAACCCCTCACTTTGGGGGTTAAATGTGTGCACAGGCTGAGGGGTAAACTACTGGGTCATATGGTAATTCTATTTTTAATTAAAAAAATTTTTTTATTTGAAAGGCAGAGTGACACACAGAGAAATCTTCCATTGGCTGGTTCACTCCTCAAATGTTCACAAAAGCCAGGCCTGGGCCAGGCTGAAGCCAGAAGCTGGAATTCCATCTGGGTCTTCCATGTGGTTGTCAGGGACTTCAGCTATCACCTGCTGTTTCCCAGGGTGCATTAGCAGGAAGCTGGACTGACAGTGGAGGTGGGACTTATCCCAGGCAATCTAACACGGGACATGCAGGTGTCTGGGACATGTCAGGTGAACTGGCAGTGCCACAGTGTCCACTCTAATTTCAGTTTTTTGAGGAATCCTGACACTGCTTGTAATAATGGCTCTACCAATTTCTACTACTACCAACAACATACAAGGGCTCCCCTTTTGTCCACATCTGACCAACACTTACCTTTTGTCTTTTTTGTTAATAGTCAACCTAACATGTGAGAGGTGACATCTTGATGTGGTTTTGATTGCATTTGCTAGGTGATAAGTGAGGTTGAACACCTCTTCACGTGCCTATTAGTCTTCTATACAAGGATACTTCAAAATGTTCTTGGAAAGGAGACGGTATCTGTACAGCAGTCTTCACACGGCAGCTGGCATACCCGCAGCCCTTATCAGAACCTGAGTTTGGGCCCCGGCTCTGTTTCTGATTTAGGCTTCTTGCCCACACTCACGCTGGGGTGGCTCAAGAAGCTGTCTCTGCTACCCACTCTTCCTGAGCCTGTAATTCCTGTCTTCATCGTGTTGTTCTCAAGTCAACTTCATTCTAAACATAAATTCACGAGCGGTCAGGGTTGTGGCACCGTGGGTTAAAGCCACCACTTGGGACGCCAGCATCCCACATCAGAGAGCTGGTTCCAGTCTCACCCATCCTGCTTCTGATCCAGCTTCCTGCTAATGACCCTGAGAAGGCAGCAGAGGACGACCCAAGTACTTGGACACCTGCCCCACCTATACAGAGGGTCTGGCTCCTGGCTTCAGCCTGGCCCAACCCTGGCTGCTGTGGCTATTTGGGGAGTGAACCAGGAGATGGAAAATATCACTCGCTCTTTCAAATAAATAAATCTTTTATTTTTTTAAAAAAGTAATTTTTGTAGAGTACAATTTCCAAGATCCCTCTCCCTGTCTTGGAGGTTGTGAGTTCATGCTAATTACTTAGTCTCCGATTAGCAGCTCATCCAGAGGCTATCCAGGGACCCCAACCTTTGTCACTTCATTAGCAGCAACTAGGTCTGATCAAAAGAAGCTCCTACAAACAGCAACAACCAATCCTACCACTGGGGAAGTTCCAAGGATTTCCTCGGAACAAAGATGAAAGATGTTTCTATCAGCCACACATCACGCAAGCTGCTGTTGAGTTCCGGGCAGTCTTCAGGCTAGCTTAGCCCTACTGCCACAGTGTAAACCTGCTGGGATCTCTGTTGAGTGCTCCAGATGAATTCTCCACTCCAGCAGCTCAGAACATGACTCCCAGCCTTTTGGAGCTCTGGGAATTATCAGCTAACACCTCCCCACTAGTGCCTCACAGGGCTTCTGCAATGCACTCAAGGGAACTCCCATGCACACTTCTCCCATAGCTCCCTCCTCTATGCTTGTTTGCCCTGTAAATTCCAACCACCTCTTTGAACTCCAGTCCACCTCCGCGACTCAGTGACTTGACCCTGCTCCGGATCCTGCTCTCTGCATCTTAGTGAAGTGCCTCTGTTATGAAGCGGACCTTGTTTCCTTCAGATTCAAATACTGAACCCCTAAAGCCCCACTTTAATGTATTTGGAGATAAAGATCTTCAGGGAGGCAATCAAAAGGGTGGGACCCTAATTCCATAGGACTGGTGTCCTCATAAGGGAGACATCAGAGATACTCCCACCACCATCAGAAACCAACCCTCACAGCACCTGGATCTTGGACTTCAAGCCTCCAGAACTGTGAGAAAACAGATTTTTTTTTTTTTAAGATTTATTTGAAAAGCAGAGTAACAGAGGTAGAAAGATAAGAAAAAGAGATCTTTCATCTGCTGGTTCATTCCCAAAATGGCCATAAGAGAAAAGATGAACTCAGGAGCCTCAAACTCCATCCTGGTCTTCCACATGGGTGGTAGGGGCCCAACCAAGTTCTGCTTTCTGCTGCTTTCCCGAGCACATTACCAGGGAGCTATATAGAAAGTGCAACAGCTGGGACTCAAACTAGTGCCCATACAGGATGCGTCGTCTCAGGCATTTAAACTGGTAATACCACAACACTGGCCCAATTTCTGCCATTTAAGCCACCAAAGGATGATTATTTTGTTATGGCCCTCTCAGCAGATCAATACAGCCTCCAGGGAGAAAACCTGGAATATTTTATGTAGGGTCCCATTATGACCAGAAGCATAAGCCCCTTCACAGCATGCTTTTTTTTAAAAGATTTATTCATTTATTTGAAAGGCAGTTACAGAGACGAGAGAGCAAGAGCGAGAGCGAGAGAGAGAGAGAGAGGTCTTCATCCGATGGTTCACTCCAGAACTGGGCAGATCCGAAGCCAGGAGCCAGGAGCTTCTTCCAGGTCTCCCACGCGGGGGCAGTGGCCCAAGGACTTGGGCCATCTTCTACTGCTTTCCCAGGCCATAGCAGAGAGCTGGATTGGAAGTGGAGCAGCCGGGTCTTGAATCAGCGCCCATAGGGGATGCTGGTACCTCAGGCCAGGGCGTTAATCCGCTGTGCTACAGCGCCGGCCCCATGAAGATTCTAAATACATCAGGCAGCCGAGCCTACTATGTCTAACAAGAACTCAGATCTCAGCAAGGTAAGACTTCTAGATCCTACTCATGCTTGTACTGAATGAGGACATGGAGCTTCTGATTCAGTTCAAGGGGACAATCAGTGTAACTTCCATCATACAATTTTCCTTGGAATTACCAAGGAATATCCCCTACTGAGGATCTAGGATCAGTGTCCTCTCTGAAATCAATACTCACAAGACATAAAGTGTATTGTCACTCGGGACTAGTCAGGATTGACTGGGCCTCAAAGGGCAAGGATGACTTCTCAGAAAAACAAGCACGAACAATCACACTACACCTCAAAGCACTTTCACTGCATTGTTTCATGTTCTCAGGGCAAGAAGGGAGGCTCCTTGGCCAACCATCCAAAAATAGACACCAAGAGGAATTTAAATAATACCCAGAGGTTAAAAACTAAATTGTAAACTTGATACTTTAGATTTAAGGAGGATGGTTTTAAGGCAGCACAAGGTTCAGCACGGCACTGAATTCAAACGTGAAAGGGAAGTGAAGAATACAAAAGGAACATGCATGAACACGAAAGTTAGCACTGGGGGTTTTTAACTGAATACATTACTAAGTTATAATCCAAAGTCAGAAGATTGGAGGTATGACACTATAAGAATGCTGGAATAATGCTTCCACTAGAACTCTAGCTACCCTCCTCCCTGCTCTGCCCCCTAGATGCTCACTTCAGCCAGAATCACCTTTTAAAAGCCCGGCCTGGATTTACAGGCCATGTGCTCAGAAAGCCTCTTTGGCTAGTACCTGTAGGAGGCAGCCAGCTCCTCACCTCAGCTCTCACTGCCCTCAAACATCTTGTCCTAACCTACCTTTCTACTCTGTTCCCCAGATTTTTTTTTAAAAGATTTTATTTATTTTATTCAAGAGGTAGAGCTACAGAAGACAGAGGAAGACAGAGAAAGGTCATCTATCTGCTGGTTCACTCCAATGGCCCCAACGGCCAGAGTTGAGTTGATCCAAAGCCAGGAGCTTCTTCCAGGTCTCCCAAATGGGTGAAGGGACCCAAGCACTTGGGCCATCTTCCACTGCCTTCCCAGGCCATACGAAAGGAACTGGACTGGAACAGGAGCAGCCAGGACATGAACCAGCACCCATATGGGATGCAGGCACCGCAGGCAGAGGCTTAGCCCATTTCGCCATAGTGCTGGCCCCTCCCCAGCAGATTACCCACACCTCCACCTCTCCTCCACATATGCTGTGACCCAGCCCCTTCCCTTACAGGAATCATCACAAAAATCTTGTGCTTTTGTGCTGTCTCAACTCTAATGTGCTGATCCTCCTTGTACTCACCTCCACTTATGGGAAACCCTACCTTTAAGGACATAGAGCCAACGCCCGTTGTTCAGCTGTAACACTGCTGCACGGCTGTCCCCTCTACTGTACTATAAGCTTTGTTAGAGGTCTTCACTGCTATTACTGCCCACAGTCCGTAACACATGGAAACCCCCGCCCCCAGATGCTGTGAAGGTAGATGGAGAAGACAGGGTGGACTTTCAAGTTGGACCTGCTTGGTCCTCAGCAGATCCCAAAGCTCCCTCAACACCACCACCCCTCCCCCCGGCAGCCTAAGAACACAGAGGCCCAGAGGATTAACACAGGTTGTTGTCATTGTTGGAGGATACTTCTCAAAGCTTCTGGCCTGGAATGTTAATCATCTCTTTTCATGCAACTTATTCACACCACAGCTTTGGTAGGGGGGAAAAAAACCACCAAAGCCAGTCTTTTTTTTTTTTTTTTTTGACATCTTACTTCAAAGCTGCTTCTGTCTCTTTGCCTTTCAAATAAATGTAAATGGATTTAAAAAAAAAATCTAATGTGGAGTGGAATTTTTGAGACTGCTTTGTCTCCCCTTTCCACCTGGAGAAATTTCTGACAGTCATCTGAGCTTTTACTGTGCTTTCCCCAAACCCGCCTAAGGCTTCTTTTTGCCAGAAACTATATAGCCAGGGAAGATACTTAAACCACTCTTGGTTCTTTTCTTTATTTGATAATTGGAGTACTGAAGTAGATTCCAAAATCTTTCACAACAAATTTTTATATACCTGTATAATACAGAATTTTAGAATTATTAGAATCATACAAGTAAACCACTGTTTATATGAGTACACATTATGTAGTTTAAAGAGAGCCTCTTATCCCTAGTTTTTACGGGCTGTTATAAAAGAAAAACTTCAGCTGGATTTTTTAAAATTTTTTAACATGTAGAGGAAAATGTCATCGGCACACTTTCCTGCAAACAGACTTGTTCTTAGCAACTCCAGAGTAATAAACAAAGGTGCTGTAATTGCCAATACACAGAGCAGATGAGCCCATCCAGCGGCCCAGGGGAGGGCTGATGGCAACCTGCTCTCCAGGCTCTACCGAGACTTTCCTAACCAAGCAATCAGGCGTTGCTTCCTCCATCTGAGACAATTCTTAGCTTACACGGCTGAGTACTTGATCTGAGCAGATTGTAATGAGGAAGCCACAGGCTTGTTTTAAAAAATTTTGATCACGAATGGGAAGAAGGCTGGGTTGGGGGAAGAGTCAATGTGCAGGGGAAAAGCGGGGTCAGGGAGTGGACCTCCAGTGAGGCCGAGACAGAATCCAAGGCAGATGTGAGCAAGCTGCAGCAGAGCGCTCTCCTGGGCGTTCTTCCACACTCCCCTACTCTGCCCTTCTCACTCCACGTGCTCTTCCCTCCGGGTCATGGAGAAAATGAGGCCACTTTAGAGCAGAGTTCTGATAATCCTATTTGAATCCCCAAGGCCAATTCTACATTGGATTGTTCAGTTCCATGAACCAATTAATCCCTTTCCTTTTGGGGGCATAAAATAGTTCAGAGTTGGTTTCCTTAGTAATTCAAAGAGTTGCCATTAATTAATTACTCAAATAAAATGCAGGCATGCACTTTTTCCTATTCAGAACTGTAAGAATTATAAAATAGCTGCTTAATGTGAAAATCAAGTTCAACTGTCACTGTGAAATGAATAAAATGCAGGCATGCTTGAGAAAAATCTGGCAACTATTTTAAATTATGCTGAGAAGATTTAGTATTTGCCTTTAAAACATTCATCTGAAAAGTTTTAAAGTAACCCAAGAAGAAAAGATATGCTGCGCTGATAACATTAATTTGGCAATTAAGTCAATTTGTTAACAATTCCCTCTTACCTCACTGTTTATCTTCTGAGTTCCCATTTTTACTAAATTTGTGTTCCTATTAGGCCATTCTATAAAAGTCAACCAAGTATACAAAATTTTCTTTCAGGCTGAGTCATGAGTCTTTCGCATCTTGCTTTATGGGACAGGGCTGCTCAGTGTGGACCAGACTGATAGAATCAGCATTACCCTGTAGCTTGTTTGAAATACAAGTGAGTCAGAATCTGTAGGGTTGGGCCCAGGAATTTGTCCCAGTGATTCTTAGGCAGTCTGAAGTATAGAAACCTCCGAGAGTGTCCGCATGGTTACCATTTTGCTTCTTTTTATTTGCTCACACTTAAGATGCAACAGAAGACCATCTCTCAGCCCTCATACTGAATGGATGACCCAACAGTCCTCCCAATGTGTCTAAAACCAGCTTATATTTTTCTTCAAGACACAGTTTGAAGCTGCATTGATTGAATTTCTGTTTACCTTTCTGAAGCCTAGGGAAAAAGAAGCCAGGGACTGTGAAAGGAAAAGCCCAGCTGAAGTTTGGCCAACAGAGGGAAAGGATTTATTTCGTTTCTCCCCAGAGCTGGGGATAGGGTGAGTTTCTCAGGCATTCTGAAGGGTGGGGTTAACCTGCTCTACTCCAGCACACATCACAAAGCCGCTGCCAGTCCAGCAGCACGGAAGCACAAGTGACCATAAGGCTTGAGAAGCAGTGTAAGTCCCAAGAGTGTTAAGACTCTGAGTGCTAGGCTGAGGTGGGATGGTCAACACTGGTTGGGTTAAGAAGTCATTAGAAAATAAACATATTAATTAGTGACATCAACTTTTACATTGCAAAATTTCCTACATAACATTACCATGTAACATGCTCTAGCATAGATTTAATTCCACAAAGTAGGGATTACTTTCACATCAGCATTATAAAAGTTTATTTTCACAATTCTAAAGAGGTAAATCCCCAAACTTTACATTTCCTCACTTATTTCTCCCAAAACAGATTAAAAAGATAAATAAATAAAAAGCGTCAGAATATCAAACCATGTTTAAAAATCCTGCGGGCTAATTTTAAAATCCGAATTATTTTAAATTATGACAGTGATGGAATGTTTGCCAGTTAATCAAGGTTCCAAACTAACATTCAAAATAAGAAAGAACTATCACTGGGATCCTGTTACATTTTAAATCACTATAAAGGCTGATCAATTTTTATCATTAATAATGCTATTGCCATAAGCAAATAATGCCATTTATATTCCAAAAGTATATTTGTCTTGCACACCTTACACATTGAGGTATAAAGCCATGCTTTACTTGCATTTTTTATTAACATAACGAATAATTTCTTCCATAATGGCAATTATAGTAAAAAGTCAAATAACATCAGCCAACTTGCTGGCATTTTCTATTGTCTTCTAATTAATATACTAGTGCATAGACATGTATAAACCATATAGCCATACCAATTTATAAGCAACAAATTCAAATTATTAGGAATATAAATTCAAATATTATATCAATTTATAAGCAATAAATTTAAAATGTTAGGAATATAATAAAACTACATTATAAATAGTTTACTTTCCATATTTCCTTAACATTATTTTTTATTCATGTCTCCCACTAAATTTTCTTCACTAAACTCTATTAAACTCTAGATTTAAATATGGCTAAACATAAGAGAGATGGGTGTCAACAAAACAGCTGAGTTTTGTCAGTGTCTAAGTCACTTAAAGCTATTCTTCAAAAGACACATTACTCAACCGAAGGCAAACGTGGAAAAAGTTGTATTTGAATCTTAGGTTCTTCACAGTTTGACCTGTCAGGGCCACGGGACATCAAAAGCCCAAGTTGTGAACGTTTACATAAAGTTAACTGTGTCACTAGCGGAATGTCTGTTAGCTGAAGAAAGACCTCTGGAAACATTCAACAAGACATTTCAACTTGCAGAAGATGAGCAGTTTGGAGTGGTACACAATCAAATTAACAAAGTTTTAAACCTTCTCAAATATAAAGTGGTATTATACCCAAATAACAACCTCTAATGAAATTTCAGTTTAAATTGTAACACTTCTTATCATTATATGAAGAAGTCAACATTGTTAATAAATGGTCTATGTGGTTAATAAAAAGGACAATCCTTAATCAATTTTGTAGAGTCAGTAATAGACTAACGTCCTATCATCTGGAGGTTCTAGTATGTTCCAACTTCAGGCTGTCACAATCAGGAACATTAAGTGATATTAAGTGATAAATATTCAGTGACAAAGTATAACATTAGGTGTTACAACATGTAAGTAAGTACAAGACTATTTCAAAAGTTCATGGAAAATGAATTAAGATGTTTATTCTGGTACAAAAAAATTCATAATCTCTACATATGTTTTTCATAATACACATTTTCATGAATTTTTGGAGCTCATTCATGGATAAGTATTTCAATTTTTGCATCAAAATAAACAGCTTTTTAATTCCACTTCCCATGACCCTTTTTGAAGTATCCTCACATAAGGTCTTAAAAACACCTAAGTGTTGGTGAAACCAACGCCAAAATTACCTCATAACTTTTCCTTAAATCCATTTATTTCCACTAACAAATCTAGGCCTACTACTGGCTCTACCACTTTATTCCTATTTAGAAGCTGAAGTATGTTATCATTGATGTAGTATGACTATTTTTCCAAACTATGGTCTTATTTCTGCTAAGTCATTCTTATAGTCTTTATTAGTTTAAGTTGTTTTAACTGTCTTTTTAGAACTCTAAAATGATATTAAATTTAAAATTTTTCCAATTCTGTTCCTCAAATACAATTCTGATATATTAGACAAACTATTAGACAACTAATATCAACATTGTAAAGAGATTCAATTGAGTGAGTTTCAATTATCCTAAAAATGTAAGTAAATCTAAAGTGTGTGCCTTATGAAGTTATCTGAGAATGAAAAACAAAAATTTGGAGAGACGATTGTTAAATACAATGTTAACAGGTATACTGAACAATAAATTGAAACTTTTTTATTTAACTGACATCTGCTTAGTTTTTTATTTAGTTAAGTATAAAGGCCCAGTTAAATCAACTCATTAGACTGGTCAAGGCAAGACACTTGAACTACATAATAGGACTTAAAAAGCAGTTGGTGTTATAGTAGTTCTGATAATCACACACACATACACACACACACACACATACACATACACACAAATTGGTAGAGTACTCTGGATATTAGATTTCCCCCTATAATCTTGTATAATGCACTGTTCACAATTTGCAGTGTTTTGAAAACTACACAAATTGGACATAGCCAAATTAGAGATGTCTGATTGAACTCTTATAAAGTATTTGGGAACTTTGGCTATATTCACAAAAAGACTGATTTTAAACCATAAAAAATGAAAATTCATATAAAAGCACAACAGATTTAACAGACATGTTTAAAATAAATCAAATTGTAACTCAATTTTCTACTTTTTCAAATATGTCTAAGAAAGTTGCAAGTAATGTCTACATTAAAAAAAATATTAACTGGGTGAATTTGGGAGGGGGAGGAAAACTATACAGTATTATTGCACTCCACGAAATGTGCAGAATTCCAAAATGTGCTAGCACTGAAAAACCGTCTTGCATTGAGGTTTTCCAAGAGGTACAACGAGCCTGCCAAAAAAGCATCTGGTCTGTACTAACAGCTTGCTGTCTTCAGTACAGGCCTTCATAATGTCAGTCACGCTGCTCTTGCAAAATCCCTTAATGTCTGAAAAACACATAGACAAAAAAAAAAAACATTTTATTTTAAAATTCACTCTTGCAAAAAGAAAGTCAACTCACTGACCAGAAAAGATCTGATAATTCTGCTAAGCAAAAGTTAACTAACACTCTCCATAGTCAAAGATTAGCTTAACACTCTTCATAGTCAAAGATTAGCTTATAAATTTTCTATCTTGAGCATATTAAAAGAATACACATATACATACTCGAGCACAATATATCAACTCTGGTCATTAACTGTTCAGAATAAAAGGAAAAAAATATTAAGTTGTAGTCCAAGTTATTAAAACTTGAAGATAAAATTATTATTATTATTTTTTTTGACAGGCAGAGTGGACAGTGAGAGAGAGAGACAGAGAGAAAGGTCTTCCTTTGCCATTGGTTCACCCTCCAATGGCCGCTGCGGCCAGCGCACCATGCTGATCCAATGGCAGGAGCCAGGTACTTCTCCTGGTCTCCCATGGGGTGCAGGGCCCAAGGACTTGGGCCATCCTCCACTGCACTCCCTGGCCACAGCAGAGAGCTGGCCTGGAAGAGGGGCAACCGGGACAGAATCCGGCACCCCTACTGGGACTAGAACCCGGTGTGCCAGCGCTGCAAGGCGGAGGATTAGCCTAGTGAGCCGCAGTGCCAGCCCAACTATTGACATAAGTTTCTTTTGGCACATAAGTTTCTCTTGAAACACATGAATTATTAATGAAGAAAACATCATTTGTTTAAATTTAAGTTGAAAACTCAAGTGACAACAGATGCATTAACTACTAGCTTACTGATTCATGACAAGAAATAACAGAAACCTATACATAGTCATGTGTATTTTTAAAGTACTTACAAAAGAGTTTTCAGTGCTGATAGGTGGGGCTATGACCGATGGTGTGGGATTGAATCCATATGCACATTGAGTTTCATTTCATTGTCAAGAATTTGAACAAGTTGTTGCATGGATGGAAGGTGACCAGATTCCAGTTTAGACCACACAGGCACATCTATAAAAAGAAATGACAACCACCCCCCAAATTTAAATAGGAATCCCTAGCAAGACATTCATTCCACAAGTATTACTGCATGTACATAACTGGGGATACAGGAGTGAACAAAAAGCCACTTGCTCTTAGTTTATGTTCTTGTAGGAGAAAACACAAAAGAACTGCCCAAAATTACAACTGTGTCCAAAGAATTAAAACTAAAGAGTGCTTTAAATGAAATGAGGGGCACACAGAAGGGGTCTTCAAAAGATAATGAAAAATGTGTTATGAGCAAACAATGTCTAGATTTCAAAATTCTTATGCACCAAAATAAATCCTTTTTGTTTGCTTTTTTAATTTAAGAGGCATAGAGACAGAGGGCTCTCATCTACTGGTCCACTCTCCAAATGCCTATAACAGCCCCAGACTGGAACCCTATCACTTGGGCCATCACCTCTCTCTTCCAGGATCTGCATTAACAAGAATCTGGATTCAGGAGCTGGAGCCAGGAATTGAACCTTGGAATTTTCTTTAGATATGGTATGCAGGTGTCTTAAATAACAGGCTAAAATACCTGCCTCTACATCTAACTGAAATCATACTTTCCATGAACTTTTGAAATACCCTTGTACATAAGCCTGCATCACTGATTAGTCAGAGAAGTAGTATCATTTAAATTGAGATCTCCAATTTCAGTTCACAATTGATCATACTGATAGGTCTAAGAGTCAAAGGGATCACATAAACAAGACTAGTGTCTGCTAATACTAACTGATAGAATAAAAAAGGGAGAGAACGATCCAACATGGGAAGCGGGATACACAGCAGACTCATAGAATGGCAGATGGCCTAAACAGCACTCTGACCTCAGAATCAGCCCTTAAGGCATTCGGATCTGGCTGCAGAGCCCATGAGAGTATTCTAGGCATGGAAAGCCAAGACATTCTGGCAAAAAAAAAAAAAAAAGAAGAAGAAGACCTAAATGAAAGATCTCTGTGAGTGAGATCCCAGTGGAAAGAACAAGGGCATCAAAGGAGGTACCTTTCTCTGAAGGGAGGAGTGAACCTCCACTTTGACTATGACCTTGTCTAAATAAGATTGAAGTCGGCAAACTCAAAAGGCTTCCATAGCCTTGGCAACTCATGACAAGAGCCTAGGGAGCTTACTGATGCCATAAACAAGAGTGTCAATTTGTTAAGTCAACAACAGGAGTCACTGTGCACTTACTCCTCATGTAGGATCTCTGTCCTTAATGTGTTGCAATGTGAATTAATGCTATAACTAGTACTCAAACAGTATTTTACACTTTATGTTCTGTGTGGGTGCAAACCATTGAAATCTTTACTTAATATATACTAAATTGATCTTCTGTATATAAAGATAACTGAAAATGAATCTTGATGTGAATGGAATGGGAGAGGGAGCAGGAGCTGGGAGGATTGTGGGTGGGAGGGAAGTTATGGGGAGGAAAAGCCATTGTAATCCATAAGCTGTACTTTGGAAATTTATATTTGCTAAATAAAAGTTTAAAAAAAAAAAAAAAGAATGTCATTGACATTTTGATTGGGATGACATTGAATCTGTAAATTGCTTTTGGTAGTATGGACATTTTCATGATATTAATTCTTCCAAACCATGAATATGGAAGATTTTTCCTATTTTTTGGTCTTTTCTTATATTTCTTTAATGTTTTGTAATTTTCATTGTAGAAGTCTTTCACATCATTGGCTAAAGTTGTTCCAAGGTTTTAAATTTTTTGTAGCTATTGTATATGGACTGATCTTAAAAGATCTTCCTCAGTTACGACATTGTCTGTGTATATAAATGCTATTGACTTTTGTGTGTTGATTTCATATCCTGCAACTTTACCTAACTCTCTTATGAGTTCCAATAATTTCTTAGTGGAGTCTCTTGGTTCCCCTATACATAGAATCATGTCCTTTGCAAACAGGGATAATTTGACTTCCTCCTTTCCAATTTGTATCTCTCATACAAAGATGGAAATGGTTAGTATGTAAAACACCTTCAGTTAATCTCAAATTATGAAATTATGAAAAAATACATACGAATTTCAAAAATGTTTGCACCACAATAAATGTAATATTTTAATTTCAAAAAAATTGAGATCTAAAAGATAAATTATCAAGACACAATGAGGCCGGCGCCGAAGCTCACTAGGCTAATCCTCCGCCTTGCGGCACCAGCACACCGGGTTCTAGTCCCAGTAGGGGCGCCGGATTCTGTCCCTGTTGCCCCTCTTCCAGGCCAGCTCTCTGCTGTGGCCAGGGAGTGCAGTGGAGGATGGCCCAAGTGCTTGGGCCCTGCACCCCATGGGAGACCAGGAGAAGCACCTGGCTCCTGCCTTCGGATCAGCGCGGTGTGTTGGCCGCAGCGCGCCGGCTGTGGCGGCCATTGGAGGGTGAACCAATGGCAAAGGAAGACCTTTCTCTCTGTCTCTCTCTCTCACTGTCCACTCTGCCTGTCAAAAAAAAATTAATAATAATAAAAAAAAAAAGACACAATGAGGATTCATGGGGACAGAAAACCTTCCAGGCACAGACAATAGAAGGATAAAAGGTAGAAAAGAGTGTGGCATATGAATAGTGAGAGAAAGCCAGTGAAACTGAAATAAAGGAGAGCAGTGGTAACATGGAGACTGGAGAAGTGGGAAGAATAGACTGAGGTCAACAAACTGTAAAAGGGTCAAAGACTAAACACTTGTTTGGCCAGGAAAGATAAACAGTTTCTGTCAGGGCTCTTCAACTCTCACTGTAACCTGAAAGCAGCTACAGGCCATATATAAACAAATAGGCCTGGTTGTTTTCAAATAAAACCTTATTTAAAAAACAGGGGCTGGTGCTGTGGTGCAGTAGATTAAGATGCAGTCTGCTGGTATCCCAGATAGGTACCAGTTAAGTCCTGGCTGCTCCTCTTCCAATCCAGCTCCCTGCTAATGTTCCTGGGAAAGCAGCGGAGGATGGCCCAAGTACTTGGGCCTCTGCACCCATGTGGGAAACCAGGAAAAAGCTCCTGGATCGTGGCTTTGGCCTGGTCAGCCCTGGCCACTGTAGCCATTTAGGCAGTGAACCAGTAGATGGAAGATCTCTCTCCTCTGCCTCACCCTCTTTCTCTCTAACTCTGCCTTTCAAATAAGCAAATCTTAAAAGAAACAAACAAACAAAAACAGACACCATAGGACCAGTCTGCAGACCTCCAGCTCTGGCAAGTCTTTTGGTCAAGTTAAAAAGTCAAGTCATTTAATAATGAACCTGAGACATTTAGGTGACAAGATGAAGCCTACATTTTAAAACAATAACTACTGTTTAGAGCAGATATTGGATAATTTTTCTATAAGACGTGAGAGAGTAAATATTTTAGGCTTTACAAATCAACAGACAAAGCCAAGTATATTATATAAGTATTTAAATAGTGAGAAAGATAAATCTCCATGAATTTTTCATTGAAACTCAAAGCTTTAGTTATATATACAGAAATTTAAATTTCCTATGTGTCATAAGGTATTTATATACTACATTATTTTAGCCACTTAAAAATACATAAACCGGGGATAGCACTTTGGCATAGTGAGTAAAGCCGCCACCTGCAGTGCCAGCATCCCATATGGGCACCGGTTCAAGTCCCAGCTGCCCCACTTCCGATCCAGCTCTCTGCTATGGCCTGGGAAAGCAGTAGAACATGGCTCAAGTCCGTAGGCCCCTGCACCCATATGGGAGACCCAGAAGAAGCTTCTGGCTCCTGGCTTCGGATCAGCACAGCTCCAGCCATTGTGGCCAACTGGGGAGTGAACCAGCAGATGGAAGACCTCTCTCTGTAACTGACTTTCAAATAAATAAATAAATCTTTGGAAAAAAAAATAAAAATCATTGTTAGCTTAAGGGTCATTTTTGCCAACCACTGATTTAGAGAATGGATAACACAGTAAACAAAGCACTAATGGCATGGACTAGCATGGGGCAGTGAAACCAAACAGAAGCAGAGTTTTGAGAAACTGAGGAGGTAGTCTTGAGAAGATCTGATAATTCATTAAATAAGGAGAATAAGAGAATATGATGTTATAACAAATAATGATGCCTTTAATTAAATCAGAACTGTCAGAGAAGAAGCAAATTAGAGTCCACAGAAATTGTAGGAAGCCTAAGTAATCAAGAGTTTATTTGAAGCACAATATATTTAAGATTCCACAGCAATTAAAAGAAAGGTCAGGGATCATCATACAGATTTTATTTTATGGCATGAAAATGAATAAGGACCACGGAAACAACATAACAGGAGGGCCAACTCTTCAAGGAATTTCAAAATGTGAAGGTCAAGACAGAGAGTAGCTGAAATTTTCCAAATTCTTCTATATCCTGAATTTTCACAATTTCTTTCAAATAAATTTTTCTTTTACATGAACATTAAAGAAGTTTCTCTTATTATTTAAAAAAAAAGCTGGATGCCCATTATAAATCATTTAAAATTTATCAACTATTCAGAACTTACCATTTAAAGTTATCTCAAATGCACCTGTTGACATACACTGGTTCTCAATCATGTTGCTCAAGAAGAAAACCATCATACATGCATAGACCTAAAAGAAAATACAATTAAGCACAATAGGCAAAGTCAAAACACCATCACAGCTTAAGACATAGTAATCTTTTTAATGTATAATCTCATTCTTTACTTGGTAATTCTATTTTTTAATTCACCTTAAAGCTTCATACCAACTATCACTGCTATTCCATATGTTCAGATAATACATTCAGAGCAAGAAAAACACAGTATTAATTCATAGCTATAAATATGCTGAAGAACTTACAGTACTTCCACAAATTTGTGGAAAATACAATTAAAAGCTAAGTTTAATTTGGTACAAAAAATTATTTTCTAATTTATTTTAAAGAGAGATGGAGACAAAGACAGAGACACACGGACAGATTGAGGAAGATCTCCTATCTACTGGTTTCTTCCCTAAATCTCTACAAATGCCAAGGCTGGGCCAGGCCAAAGCCAAGAGCCTGGAAGTCAATCTGGGTCTCCTTTTTGGGTGACATGGACTCACCCACCTGGGCTATCACCTCCTATTCCCTTCCCGAGTATGCATCAGCAGGAAGATGAAAATAGGAGCAGAAGCAGGGATTTGAACCCAGGAATTCCAATATGAGATGCAGGCATCTCAAGCATCATCTTAACCAACACATCAAATGTTCACTCCCGGGGCAAAAAATTTTGAAATCCATGCATATCAGGGGTCCTCAAAATGAACATGGAAAATGAGAAATACGAAAAAAACTATACATGGATTTCAAATGTTTTTGCACCAAACCAAACATCTTTTAATTCCATTTTTCCACAAGCTTTTTGAAGTTCCCTCATATAGGATATTCATATTTTATATAATTTATACATATTACTCCCCAGAGATCTCATAATATCATAACAGCTTTAATAAGTTAAACAAGAATATCAGTATAAGCAGAGTTGCTGTTACCACTTTTATAATTTAATATATGAATTCACAAGAGACTACTGATGCAATAATCAGCAACTCCATGTATTCAATACAACCTGTTTATGTTTCAAACACATCACTTTAAATCAAACAAAGAAGCAGTAAAGGAGCACTGACATATTAAAATTCACTCATTCACCTTTTAAAGGCAAATCTTTACTCTCCCTAAAGGGACTAGAAGCCCCTTGTTGGACAAAAGTTGTAACTTAACAAAATCACTGGACTAAAAATAGGATATAGTGAGAATGTCAATTCACGACAAACTGTTTCAGAAAAATAACTCATGTCTCTAGAGCAGATGAGAAACAGTATTTCCTCCTGTCCCATTTGAACTGGACAGAGTTGTTTCATAAGGGTTTCTAGTTTTTGGAAACCCAAGTCTACTTTCATGGGAATAATACACAGCAACTGTCTTGAAAGCTGCAGCTTTAAAATACATTCTTATACATAGATCAGCAGCACCTAAGTCTACACATAGTAGTAAAATGCACAAAAGATAATTTGGAATCAATAAATACAGCATAAAACATTATCCATAAGTACTCAACTTCCAACTCTTAATCCTCTGCAAATCAACATTTTGTTAATAAGAGTAGAGACACACTTCAACTAGAGATAGTACCTCAGCACTTCTTCATGTTAAGTCTTGTCTGTTATTGGAAACAGGTGGTTCCATAAGAAAAAAAAATACAACTATGTAAGAGTCTGCTAAAGGCATTCAATCTAAAACTAAGACAAGACCAGACAACTCTAAAAGAGAACACTTCATAGAGGGAAGCCAAAGCGATCCCACCCAAGACATATAAAAATAACTGCTATTTCAGACAGAATGGTACACCCTCCAGAAAAAAAAAAAATTTTAAGCAAAATGGATGAAAATACAGGTGATCTAGAAAGAATGTATGTTGCAGCAAGATCCTGGAAAGGGAATAAAAGCACAAGATTCTTCAGCATATTCATTGCTGTTCTTTCAGGCAGTATGCCCAACAGAGTGCCAAGAACAGAAAAATTAAGACAAATATTTAAGAGAAAGAAGAATTTTGAAAGAACAAGTTAATGTAAAATCCCCTTTTAGTTGTGAACTAACCTATTAATGCCCCCAATAGTATAAAAAGCCCACATTATATCCATACTGTGTTTTACAGAATATGATCTGAGTGGTTCTATAATCAAAATCAAATAATTAATTACTTTGCACCCAGGTTCTGCTAAAGTAATACCTCTTATGCCACCAAAATAATCATTCTTAATATGTAAATATGAAAACTGAGGTTAAGGGAGATTAAGTGACCTCCCCAAAGATAACATGCATTTAACAAGTCAATCAGTAACAAATACTCAATTAAAAGAAAAAAAATCAATAAAATATTTTCACTAACAACCTAAAAACCTACAGTTGCCAAAGTTATTAAGTTACATACCTTATTTTCCTGGCCCCATTGCCAGATACTAGGAGCTTGCATGCCAAAGAAAGCAAAAGGATCTTTGCCAACAATTATTAAGCCTATTAATACTAGCTTGAAGACTGACAGGAAAGATGCTATGTGTCTGTCAAAACAAAGAAATAAATTCAGCAGAAGCCATAATTTCTCATCTACTTTAAAATTTAATAATTCAAGTACATATGTATAGACAATTTCTAGACACTAAACCTACGTTACTAATTACAGAAAAGATAGCTAAGGCTTACTACAGTTTTTTAAAAAAATATTTAATACTCTGGTTCTCTTCAGGTTGTATAAATCTTTCCCACCTTAAAAAAGCTTAATCTTTTAAATCAATCAAAAAATGAACTTATAAAATTCCTCAGAATTGGTCTTTTAAAACACTAACTTAAGACAGCACAGAATTTAATATCACGGCTTTTCTAGAAAACTTTAGAGGAGTTATTGAGCTATTTCCATAAAAACTAAGTAGGAAGATACATCCTTAGAATGGCTGCCATCTCTGAAATGACCCTATTGCTTCTTAAAGAAAAAGCTATGTATATTTGGATCAAATAAACTTGCTATTTATAAATCTGCATTCTCTGTATATTATCATAACCAAGTAAGAAATTAAAGTAACTAATGAAAACTAAAAGTTTATAAAATCAAAAAAACTGTTTTCTTTTTAAGTTACTTAAGTTTACTTACCTATATATTGGTTGAGGGAGGTAATTCTCTCCTTCAATTCGGATGTCTGGGTACCGCTGGCTAATAACCCGCATGTACTCCTCAAACACCCGCCTATACCCTCAGGAAACACTGCAAAAAAATACATGTATTTCCATTAAGTGGCTTAGAATACATATAGTTTTACTTTATAGTTAGATAAGAAAAAATTAATCTTGGTAATAATTTTTAAGATCCATTACAAATTATTAATAAGGGAAGTTGGATGATGGGTACATGGAGGTTTTGTGTTTTTTTTTTTATTTTTGTTTTTATAAATTTTATAGATTTAAGTTACTTCCTACTCAAATAAATCCTGCTATTAAAACATTAAACTTTATGTATTTGGGTTATTTTGGCAACAGCAATTACCTACCACCTATCTTGAGTTCTCACAGTGATTTAACCTTTTTTTTTTTTCCCAAGCAATGGCTTGTACCAACAATGAAATGAAGACAATTCTTATTTGTTTAAAATTGAGACTTTTAAATTTGGAACACAAAAGCATGAGATATGAATTTTTTTTATTCCCACTCTGCCCCTAACTGGGCAAATTTATTTGCTCAATCACAAAAGGAAAAGGAACTTAGACTAAACTCTTAGATTGCTTCTACCTTTAAAATCTGTGCCAAAAAACACAGACTGGCAAGGTAATTTTTAGCACTATAACAGAAAATCCTTTTAATTATTCTGGAAATTAAGTCTACAGCATCTAATCTTCTCCATTAAAGTCTCTTAACAATCCACCTTCAGAGGCACGAGGGAGTATATATACAGAAAATATGCAGTGGCACTACAGTACCAACAGAATAGCTTACAAACTCAAATACGACTGTTATGCACTGATTTAAGGAACACATTTCATGAGTTGGTGATGGTATCACCTGGTATAGAAGAAGCCAGGTCAGTTATTATATTCTACTAGAGTAAAACCTGAAGGGCCAGCATTGTTAATCAAAGAAAAAACTAATCACTACCAACCCAAGGGAACAGCATGGAGTTTATGGGGTAAAATAGTTCAAATACTAGATTTCAATTTACAAAAACACATTTTAGAGGATAAATTCACCAGTTTTTTCTTGTACTATTTAACTTTTTAAATTTAAAACTTTCTATTTATTTATTTGAAAGTCAGAGTTATAGAGGGAGAGAGAGAGACAGAGATCTTCCATCTGCTGGCTCACTCCCCAGATGGCTGCAATGGCTAGGGCAGGGTCAGGCCAAAGCCAGGAGCCTGAAACTCCATCCAGGTCTCCCACGTGGGTAGCCAGGGCCTAAGCATTTAGGCCATGTTCTGCTGGTTTCCCAGGCAAGGAACTGGACTGCAAGCACAGATTGGAACCAGCATTTACATACGATGCAGCCTTGCAGGTGGTGGCTTAACTCACTGAGCCAGGACATCAGCCCCTTATTCACCTCTCTGACAATTGTGCCTTGATGTCTAAATCTATGTGGTTCTTCTGATCCCAAAAAGTCTTAAGTCTCACACCTTTGTGTGAAACTCCAAATAGAAAAGGATATACTGTTCAGCTCCAAAAGAATTTTAAACTGTACTTACTTTTTAAAAAGTGAATCAGTTTACAAGACTACGCAACATATTAGACATGTTTATTTATTGTGCTCCTCCTTTCACATGCTTCAGACTTGTGAAGAAAAACCAAGGAACTGGGGCCAGCACCGTAGTGCAGTAGGTTGATCCTCCACCTGTGGCGCCGGCATCCCATATGGGCGCAGGTTCTAGTCCTGGCTGCTCCTCTTCCAATCCAGCTCTATGCTGTGGCCTGGGAAGGTAGTGGAAGATGGCCTGGGTCCTTGGGCTCCTGCACCCGTGTGGGAGACCAGGAGGAAGCTCCTGGCTCCTGGCTTCGGATCGGCGCAGCTCCGGCCGTTGCGGCCATTTGGGGAATGAGCCAGCGGAGGGAAGATCTTTCTTTCTGTCTCTCCCTTTCACTGTAACTCTATCTCTCAAATAAATAAATAAAATCTTTATAAAAAAAAAAAAAAAAGAAAAAGAAAAATCAAGGAACTTTTTTCCCTATGCAATTATTGCCCCCAAAACAAAATTTCTGTTTTAAGAGTAGCAATCACTATTGCAGATGGATGTCTTCCAAAATAAAACATGGGGCGAGTGTTTACTACAGCAGTTAAAACGCCACTTCAGATACCACATTAGAGGGCTACTCTGCTTCTGATCCAGCTGCCCACTAACAAACACCTTGAGAGGCAACAAATACTGGCTCAAGTATTTGGGTCCCTCCACCCATGTGAAAAATCTGGACTAAGTTCCAGTGTCCTAGCCCAGCCCTGACTGCTGTAAGCATTTGGGGGAATGAACCAGGGGATAGAAGATTTCTCTTAGTCTGTCTTGCAAATAAAATGAAAATAATTTTTAAAAAAAAATTTTAAATGAAACATATCTACTATTTATCTAGAAAGGAAAATGTTAAAAGCACATGTAAAGAATTAGTAATCATTCCACATCTACCACATTACCCTAGTTCTTTCAAATTATTCTGTCTTACCAGGTCAAGTCAAAGTACCAGTCTGAGTCCACCTCCAACAACAAATATGTGAACATGCTGAAAACGCTAAGCAGTTACCTATTCCTTCTGCCGACCAAAGGTTCTTAAAAAGTAAACCTAACTCCTGTCCCCTCCTCTTCCTCTCTATTTAATTTTTTACTTGAAAGGCCATGACAAAGATCTACATCTACAGGGCTGAGCAAGGCTGAAGCCAGGAGCCTAAAACTAAATCTAGTTCACTCATGTGAACGGCAGGGACCCAAGTACTTAAGCCATCACCTGCTGCCTCTCTGGGTGCACATTATCAAGAAGCTGGAAATAAGAGCAGAGTCATGACTTAAACCTGGGTACTCTGATATGGGATGTGGGCATCCCAAGGGGCATCTTAACTGCTACACTAAAGATATGTCCTGTAAGTATACCTAATCTTGAAAAACAATCAGGGACTGGTGGGTGAGGCTGCCACCTGCGGCGCAGGTATCCCATTATGGGTGCCGGTTCGAGTCCCAGCTGCTCCACTTTCCGATCCCGTTCTCTTCTATGGCCTGGGAGAGCAGTAGAAGATGGCCCAAGTCCTCGGGCCCCTGCACCCATGTGGGAAGCCTGGAGGAGGCTCCTGGCTCCTGGCTTTGGATCGGCACAGCTCCAAGCCGTTACTGTCATCTGGTGAGTGAACCAACAGGTGGAAAACCTCTCTCCCCCTGCCTCTCTTTCTCTCTGGTGTGTAACTCTGACTTTCAAATAAATAAATAAATCTTTATTTAAATATATCTTTTCTTTTTCTTTTTTTCGACAGGCAGAGTGGACAGTGAGAGAGAGAGAGAGACAGAGAGAAAGGTCTTCCTTTACCGTTGGTTCACCCTCCAATGGCCGCTGTGGCCGGTGCACCGCATTGATCCGATGGCAGAAGCCAGGTGCATCTCCAGGTCTCCCATGTGGGTGCAGGGCCCAAGGACTTGGGCCATCCTCCACTGCACTCCCTGGCCACAGCAGAGAGCTAGCCTGGAAGAGGGGCAACCGGGACAGAATCCGGCACCCCGACCGGGACTAGAACCCAGTGTGCCGGTGCCGCAGGCGAAGGATTAGCCTATTGAGCCGCGGCGCCAGCCTAAATATATCTTTTCTATATGGAGTCAACCACTACAACTGCTTGGCTTAATGTATTTTTCACACAGTACTCTTCCAAAGGGAGAGCTTGCTTACATATTAAATGATCCAGATATAATAACTAGAAAGGAAATTAAAGAAATACAGAAAAACCTCATCTATGCTATTTCTAACAGATCCTGTGCTTTTAGAGTTCATCACATGTCCAGTTTCCTAATTCACAGTGCCAACCATCCCACTGTTCCCTTCTCCACATCTAATTGTAGTCAAATGCCTGCTTGTGTATCAAACCTGAGCCTACCAAATTCTCACATCATGAACGAATATCTTGCGTTTACTGCAAGGAAATAAAAAAAAAAAAAAAAACCTCACTCTCCCTTTTTACTCACAATGACCCACTCACACACAGGAGACCCAACTTCTTCCTATAGCTAATGTTCCAGAAAGGCGAATCTGTCACAGGAAAGCCCCAAGTGCCCTCTCTAGAATGAAGAATTGGGATTTTAAAAACTGTTAAATGACAGTTAACACCAAAGCTGATAGGAGAGTCATATTCTTTCAACAGGACTAAGTGGAGATAAATCAAACTTCAGAGAAAGAGAAAAATGAAGCACACTTGACTGAGAAAAGTACAAATGTGAATCAGAGAAGAATGAATGAATTCTTGGGAGCGGTATTTGGTGCAGTGGTTGGGATACAACTTGAGACCCCCAATCGCATATAAGAGTGCCTGGGTTCAAGTCCTGGCTGTTTCTGATTCCAGATTCCTGCTAACATGCACCCCATAGAGGTAATGGTGATGGTCAAAGAACTCGATCCCCTGCCACCCACATAGGGCACTCAGATTGAGTTCTGGGCTCCCAGTTTCAACGTGGCCCAGCCCTGGCTGTTATTGGCATTTGGCGGTGAACCAGTGGATGGAAAACTGCTCTCTGTCTCTCCACTTTTCAAGTAAGTAAAAATAGATAAATAAAATTAAAAATAAAAATCAGGCTTTTCAGTTCCCTACTTCAGGCCATCTCTGCTTCTGGGTTTCAAAACCACCCTTTTAGAAATCTTTAAATGCATTTCTAAATGCTTTGTTTATACCAGTTCAAAAGAGTTTCTGCTACTTGCATCCCAATAATGTTTCCCCCACTTCCCACCAAGAAAATTAAGAAGCTATTGTATGAACACTGGTTTCTAATTACACACAGCACTGATCAAGCTCCAGCAGAATACTGACATTACTTTTTTTATATAATCTTCATTTCTCCTTGGTCTATTTGGTAGCGGAAGTACTAACAGACATTTGTCTGATTAATCACCTGCTCTAAGTATTTTAAGCATGAAATCTGAACAAGATATTCTCTACACCGTACCAGAAATAAGAATAAACTAACGGGATAAATGCTTCTTAGAAGTAAGTTTCAGAGAGTAGGCATTTGGCCTAAAGGTTAAGATGACCACAACCCACAGTTGAGT